AATAAATGGTGCTGGCAAAATTGATTAACTACTTGTAGAAAACTAAAGCTAGATCCTTATATATCATCCTGCACCAGAATCAACTCCAAATGCATCAAAGACCTCGGAGTCAAAGTAGACACTCTGAAAACATTACAGGATGGAATAGGATAAACCCTAGGTCTCCTTGGCACAGGCTGAAATTTTCTGAATAGAGACCCACAAACACAACAAATCAAAGAAAGGTTTGACAAATGGGATTGCATGAAATTGCAGAGCTTCTGCATGGCAAAGGACATAGCTAGCAAAATCAATAGAAAGCCCACGAATTGGGAAAAGATCTTCACTAGCCTTTCAATGGACAAGGGTCTCATATCTAATATATGCCTTGAACTCAACAAATTAAATCCCCCATCAACAAATCTTCAAAGAAACAACTGCCCAATAAACAAGTGGGCTAAAGACTTAAAGAGAAACTTCTCTGAAGAGGAAAGAAGGATGGCCAATAGACACATGAAGAAATGCTCAACCTCTATAGCCATAAAAGAAATGCAAATAAATACAACATTGAGATACCACCTCACCCCAGGTAGAATGGCTATAATGAAGAACTAATAACAACAGATGCTGGAGGGGATGTGGACAGAAGGGAACCTTACTGCATTGTTGCTGGTGTAAAGTTGTTCAACCACTTTGGAAAGCAGCATGGAAGTTCCTCAAAGTACTCCACATATAGCTCCCCTATGACCCAGCAATCCTAAACTTTTTCATTTTAGTTTTGGAGATACAGACAAGGCCATGTTCCACCTCTCTGTACAGCCTTAGTAACCATGATTATAGGAGATTATCCAAATGCCTAGATTTCTTTTGAGATAGCTTCTTTATAACAATTGGCCAGTATAACCTCAACTTGAATCCACTCCTTTACTTCTCTCACTTGTGTGGATTTTAGGCAATATTTTGAATACTATTTAATCTTGACATATCCTCAGATTTCTAAAAATAATTATTATTTTGAGGTCTGAGGTTACAGAATTGATGAATATTGATATGTGACTAAATAATATTGCCAAGTGAAGATCTCCTTAGCAAAAATAGATTTCCCATAAAGCCTAATTTCTCAAACCTTGTATGGATCCTTATTACCTACTTAAAGTACAGATTGCTATGCAGTAGGTATGGGTGTTTTCATAAATTTTGTGTGTGTTGTTGGGGTGAGCAAAAACTAACTCCACTTTTAATATACCAGGAGTTCCTGTCCACCCTTGAGAATCAAAATACTGGTTTCTAAAAAGCCCCAGGGTCAGAAAATATGCTGTTTGTTGAGACCCCAGGAAATGTGGAAACTGTTTGGAAAGCACCTTAGGATTGTTGTGATCAGGTTGTTTGATGTGTAGCCCTGTTTGATTATCAATAGCCCAGACAGGATCTGCAGCCCTGTTTGGTTATCAACAGTAAAACATCCCAGCCACCTTTGCTCTGCCAGAAAGGAGCAGCCTAATCTCTGTCCCCATGAATGAATGCTTTATGTGGAGACCACCCAATTTGCATCCCAAATCAAACCAGAATGATAGGTTAGTTCAAACAGATACTATGAGATGCAGAGCACATGGGCAGCAAAGATGGCACTGAGAGAGAGTAGAGTGGGAAGAGCCCAATTTCCCTTATGTTCAGTGCATAATCAGCCCGTGGAAGCTTAGGTGCATGATAGGGGGTGACCTTGACAGTGTAGTTTCCTCTTCCCACCCTGCCATGCCACCTGCCCTTTTTGGCTTTAAAAAGGGCTGCTCTCTGTTAATAAACGAGTTTTCTTCCTACTTGATTTAGCTCTCCACTGTGTCTGATTGTCTCCCGGGCTGAGGGAGGCTGGGGATCAGGAGAACAAAGCACTTACTTTTCCTCGGACCCTGTTCGTCTTTCGTGGGACGAACGAAGACCCAACAATGAGACAGACTGTAACCCCATTGGCCACTGACATAAATATGCAATCTTTGTGTGTGTGCTACAATCCTCTTGGCCACCTGCATGTTGACAGGCTTGACCACATGAGTATTGTCTTTAAAATCCCTAGCTTGAGGGCCATTCGGGGTGGCAGTTTCAGCTCCAGAGTCTGTGCTGAGTCCCTTGCTGGTCAGCTATCCAGTTCCCCAAAAACGTCATCTTTTTACATGAGTCTGTCTTTACATGAATGTTGGACTCTTTTCCCCAGAACATGTGTAAAACCAGGGACATGACAAGAACAAAGTAAGAGAAGGAAGTGCTAATTTGGGCTCATACTTTCAGAGATTTCAAATCACAATCATTGACTTCCTTGGCCTGAGGTGAGGCCCAAGATCAGGTTGTAGGACCATCTAGCAGAGGCTACTCAACTCAAGGCACATTAGAATCCAAAGGAAAAAAAACAAAAACAAAACAAAACAAACCATAGGAAGTGGTAAGGGCAAGATTAGCGCCAAGGACATGCCCACAAGTGATGTATTTCCTCCAACTGAGCCCCACCCCATGCTCTTAACAATTCCCATACCACCACCCTATTGTTAACCCATTAAGGGGTTAATAAACACAATCCAATAGTGTGAAGTAAACACAGAGGACAAAACTACACCCAGAGAAACCAGGTCTCTGCTAGTTTTCAAAACAACACTGAACAACATGAATAAGTAGAAAACATGAATTTCGCTGAAGAACAAAAAACTGATTCACAGAAGGAAAATTGTCCTTTTTCCTCCATTTGTACCATGTGACTGTGCAGGTGGAGGAATTAGTGTCTCCCCTGTTCTTGTTTGATTTCAGTGTGAAGTCCTGGAAGGTTGTTCATATTGGCCTCCTCTAACAAATCTAGTGTCAAAATATGATAATTAGCAACAACAAAGAAACTTTGTTGATGCTATCTGGTGGACTAGTTATTATTTTGGTTTCAAATATTAAGTCTAAGAAGCAGAAAATGTTACATTCTGGAATACTGAATTACAAACTATTGGGAATCAGAAAATGTTACATGCTGCAATACTGTATTACAAACTATTGGGAATCCTCAAGCAACAAACTCCTAGCAGTCTCAGTAATGCCACCTCTGATATAGCCTCTGGAGGGTCCCTCATATCTGTGGCTCCACTTTCAGGCTATGACCCACAAAGAAGACAGCTACTCCTGTCACTCTAGCCACAGGCGGCTCACAGCCCTGCCTACAGGAACCAGAGGCCTGGCCTCGTGGCTTGCAGCAATGCTTGTGTTGACTATATTCCCATGTTGGTCACATGAGGATTTGTCTGCTTTGTGGACACAGGGGCTGTTTCTCCCCCAATCTACATTTGCATTCTGACACCATATTGCAATCTCACTTCTTTTTCTCACAGAAGATACTGCAGAGCTTTTTTTCTTTTTTCTTTTTCTTTTTTTTACAAAGAAAAGAAATGTATCTCAATTGAAAAGGAAACCAAATTCACTCAGCACCTCCCTCATCAAAATTGGGAATGTACCTATGGTTCCTAAAGGACTAAAAATTTAGTTTTAATATACTTCTGTGTAGTTACTGTTAGTGTTATGCTCACCTATGTTTCTTAGCTCCACCCAGAACCGGGCTCTCCTCCCATCCTGGAGTTCCCTCCATCCATTGGCTCCTCCCTCTCTCTGCCCAGACCCACCTGAACTCCCATTTACCTCACTTCCTATCCATCACACGCTCTTGCTATCTGGATGGTGATGGAGGCCATGTGCTACCACTTGGGGGAAATACGGCTTCTCTAATAAACCTTATAATATTCTTTCTCCTGTGCTTGCCTGCCTCTGCCTGGTCTCATGGACGCATGTGTCTGATCCTCTTACAGTTACATAGATGGGCTGACAGCCAAGTTCGGGATCAAGATCACAAGCCTTATTACTAGAACAACCATGCTGGTATTTGAAAATCAATGGTCTATCCCACAGTTCTGAACCCAGCTGGAGGATGTAATGCATCCAGGTTGACATAGCATGTGAGAAAAATTCAGACTCTTCCAAAATTGTTTCTGTCCATCAAGTGATGGAGATTTTCTGTCTTAGAGACACTAAAAGATATACAACGCTTCAGACCCATAAAACTATCAATAGAAGCTAGAAACAGATACAAGACAGAATACAAGACAGATACAAGGGCTCAGTCTCAGACTTCTGTGACCTATGAACACTATTTCATGACTTCATCATACTCTACTCTCTTAAGTAGAGCCATATTCCCAGAACACACAAGGCCAGAGACCAGTGTGCAGAGTCCAACACTGTATCAGCCCAAGCTTGATTCAACGAGGAACCAGTGAGAGAAGTCTGTGAAGGGTTTGATATTTATACAGGGTTTGGAGACAAACAGAGAAGATGCTAGACAAAGTACAACTGGGTTTCCAGCTTCTGAACAGAAAACATAACATAGACTGTATGTATGGGCCAAAAGGATGTGCATGATGGAAGTTTTATAAGTTTCCTTATGAAGGGAATAAAATCATAGAAGATACTTGATGCTTATATCACTGATTGTCCATAGTACTACTTAAGAGACACATATTTTTTCAATAGATACCTCATTGTTTACCTAAAGTCGCCTGGTCTTTATCCTTACATGATTTTCTCCTGCTCTTTGTAGTTTCCAAGTCATCCAATTATCATATGCTCTTTATGTCCACCCAGTCATATTGATCACAATATCTTCCTCCTCAGCTCATTCAGATAATCTTCTCTGCTGGTTCCCAGAGCAGCAACACATGAGGGCTGCTCACCCAGCCAGAGGAGAGGTTCTAGTTCAGGCATGTATCACTGTGGGAGGATTATGTGTAGCTTGAAAGCACTAATACACCCCAATAGGCTCAGAATCCACACTGCTGATTTTCAATGTGCAATCTGTGCCTGACCCACTGCCACTGAATCTTTCTGAGATCCCAGATTCTCAGTTGGAAACCTCATAGATCAGGAGTTGTGGAGAATGTCTTCGCTTCTGCAGGAACCATTTCAAATATGTGTTTCCATTGTTATATAGAAAGTTTTGAATAGACCTGCAAGAGATGGAGGCCGGCTCTCCTAGGGTGACAGGCAGGGAGAGTGGAGTCTGGGTCATCACAACATCTCCACTTGATCCTGAAATTAGAATAAGATAGACGTGCAATGTTATACACAAATGTACAGAGACATGCTTTTTATTTTTATTTTGATGTATTACCTATTATTAATATTACATGGTTTGACTTATAATATAAAAACATTTTGCATCTAAAATTGTGCGTTAAACAAAACTATTCAGAGCTTATGAAAAGAAACTTGTTTTACCAATGAACTAATACAGATTATGTGTGAGGGGGAGAGAGAAAAATGGGGTATTTAATTAGAAATGCTCTTAAATGATTTAATTAAGAAGGAAAAGGCATCTCCCTATCTTCCATGCTCATTAAAGTGAAAAAATAGAGATAATTTTAAGCATAAATAGGGCTCTAGGCATAATACATTATTCTCACCAAACACAGGTTTTCACTCCTTCTGCAGACCTAAATCTCACTTACTCCATCATGATTAACAAGACCTGCACATCTAACACATGGACAGGGCACAACTGGAATCTTAGATCTCACCCTGCCACCCCACTCACATTTCTCATCCTCCTTTGCTGTTACCAGGGTTCCAGAGCATTAACAGCCACAGTAGCTGAGACAAGACTTCATTTTTAGGACTGAAATGAGGAGTTTTGACAGGTCAAGGCAAGTTCTGATCTGAGCCTTTATCTTAGACTTAGAAAGGAAGGTCCTCCTTAGGGAGCAATATGCAAATAGCCAGGTTGGGTCAACACTGTGAGAAGAGTCACAGGGAAGTAAGGCTTGCTCTTCTGAGCAAAGTAGCAGCAGATCTGTTCTATATTTGGTGACAACCAATAAAATCCATGATGCCTTTAGCATGGAAAGAAGGACTCCACTGATAATATCTGGAATTGAGGGAAAAACGGTGCATTTCACCTCACCACCCTAAAACAACATCAGAGGCCCAATGATATGCAGCTTTATGTCCAGGAGAGACTCTAGGAAAGGAATGGTCATTGTATCTGGGTCCTCCATTCCTCCCTCATCTAATCTAGAGAAAGACACAGTATCAAGCATCAGCAGCACTGATTCTCAAAACAGTTCACCAATAAAAGCACAGAGTTGAGCTAGATGAAATAGTTACCAGGTTATCTCTTAGGGATGCTAGCATCTCTATTTGCCAGGATTTTCATATTAAGATAGAGGGTATAGAATTCACAAGGATAACAAAATTTTCTCTTGCAGGTTGTAAGTACCCTAATGGTCTTTTAACGTAATAGGAAAATTTATTACACTTGAAAGTATGAATTCAATGTAACAGTTTTTTAAATTCACTAAATATCTTGTCATTCTTCCACAATGTATTTGTACAGCAAATTAATCAAAGCATTTCTTAAAGTTTCCTCTGGAGAGTACAGGAAGGGTAAAAGGATCAAAATATGGTGTACTTATCAATTGACATACTGAGGTGAGACCATTTTTTGTAACTACTTGAAATAATATATATATATGTATATATATATATAATTTTGATTATCTTAAATTAACATAAAATCTCCAAATATCTCCAGTCCCAATCTAATTTAACCAGTCTCTGTTTATTTGTCTCAGATGTTTTAGTCTCTGCTTCACCTGAGGGAAGTTAGGACACATGCAGGGTGTTTGTACTGCTGCCCCAATGGATGAACCTGGCCAATGGAAGAGGTGACTTGTGGGATGTGATTATATTATGGGATTGGAGATTATACCCACTGCTCACCAGAGGGTTAAAGATACTCTCATGCAGTGAGGCAGTTCTCATAATAGTCACCTGCTATCAAATGAAGAAAACCATAGGCTTGGCCACCTCAAATTACAACTGGTTCTCTCTTTATTAACACAACATATTGTACCACATGCAAGAGAGTCTTCAGAGTAAAGACAGATGAAAATAAAGCATCAGGGACATTCTACATCTAAAACTATGACTTAAACTCTTCTTTATTCAGAGTTTAGGTCAGGTACTTTGTTAAAGAAAAGGACTGACAATGGTGTGTCATGTTTGTGTGTATGCACACGCACGTGTGTGTGTGTGTGTGTGTGTGTGAGAGAGAGAGAGAGAGAGAGAGAGAGAGAAATTTGGTTTAAATAGAAGTGCTCATAATAGGCTAATTGAGGAGTAAAAAGCATCTCTCTACCTGTGATACTTTTCTTCTTCTAAATACAACTTCTTAATACTTACAGAGATTACTTGTTAACTTGCTAAAATGCAGATTCACTTTCAGTAGATGTGAAGTGGATTTGTAATATTGTATTGGTAACATGCTCTCGGAGATGGTATTGATGATTCTGAATTCTGGACACCTTCTGATTAGGAAAGAAAATACTAGTACATACATGTTTAGTTGTGTTTTCTTCCTTTTTGTCAAGAAATATTTCTATTTGAGAATGGTCACTTACATATTTCATGAAAATATCTCATTTTCCATGAACTGAGACTTCTTGAAACTCTTGCTATAGTTACAAGTCGCTAATACGAAGAGTCATGTATGTATCTGGTATGGGGTAATGCCCTCCTGGATATATTCTGAGAGTTGGGCAGTGACTTCACTGGATCATCAACTATGGGCTCCCATCACCACAGTCTCTTCAGGAAATACATTACCCAGCACTGCTCTACCTCTCTGCTTTCCTGTTTATATTCTGAATGAGATGGGACATCTTCTAATCACATATAAGATTGGAAGGTGGAAGGGACTCAATCCTATTGATCCACAATATGCAAGGAACTTGGACAGAGGTGAGAGTGTGGACAAGTGAGAACTCGATACACCTCTCATGTCTTTATTCTATTTTTAATATCTATAAGGAGTTGTATAAAATGATTTCCATTAAACATATGAGGTTATAAATGCAATTCTTCTTTACCTATCAGCCTTTCATCATAATGAACCATCCCTCCCAATCTAGCTCCTCCCTTCCATATACATTTCCATGTGTAAGAATGCATGTTAATTACTAAATGTGAACTTATGACTCTCAGTATGTCTGTAGGATATATGGAAGTCACTTCTGATTACTCTGATAAATCTAGATATAATATGGGTCACTATGTAACTGTACCTAGTGCATGACTCCACAAGTGTCTTAAATGTATTTTATTTATTCACATATATTTATTTCCATTCTTCAGTTTGGGTTTATGTGAACTAGGCCAGAAGCCAATGGTGCTTTTGTTATCTGCTCTCAGAATAACACTTCTAAGATCAAGCACCAGAAAAAAAACATGTTCAAACCTTCCAAAACCTGATACAAAGTATTAGTTAATTTTTTCTTGATGTTTCCTGAAGTTATTTAAAAACTTATTTTTCCACTCTACTTTCCAAAGTTTAGAACAATTATATGATACTCAGTATCAAATCAAATTTTCTGAGAAGTAGATTAAAATGTTGTATGTTTTGACATGAGAGTTGAAATTATTTAAAAAAATACATTTGCTGGAAATAAAATTCCCTGACAGGAAGTTGATAAATGTTGAAGGTACTCAACTCACTTGTTTATTACATTATTTAGCATCCTCAAACATCATATTGTACTTCAAATAAAATTATTCCATGGAAATGCAAAATTGAATTAAAAAATTTTTAACGACTATTTTTCTTTAAAAAAAAAGGAGTTTTCAAAATGCATTTCACAAGGTATTTCTCCTTGCCTTTAAAAACCTGCCCTGACATATATAGAATGGCTTCATTATTGACTGACTGCAGGATTTTAGGACAGACTAAACCATACATGAGTACAGAGCAGTATTCTTTGTAAATCACAGAAGAGGCAGTGTCAGGTGTGTGCTGCTTGGGATGAGCAGGAGGACAGACAGTTAAGGCATGCAGTTGACTCCAGAACCTATCTCCCAATGCTTTCCAGTGACCTTAAAAAGGGGGCTGCATCTGAGATGTTCTGTCAGCAGTTGAAGCACCAGGATAAGCATCTGGGGCAACCCAGGCTCTCACTTCTGCTTCCCTGGGAGGCTTTTGTTCTGACTGGTGTCACAGGGGTAGGTAACTAATTACCTTGCTGACAGTAGTAAGTGGCAAAATCTTCAGGCTGCAGGCTGCTGATGCTGCGAGTGAACTCTGTGCCAGATCCACTTCCATTGAACCTCCATGGGACCCCAGATTGCCAAGTAGGTGCAAAATAGATCAGGAGCTTTGGAGCTTTCCTTGCTCTCTGCTGGTAAGAATGTAAATAATTGCTAATGACGTCACTAGCTTTGCAAGTGATGGTGACTCTCTCTCCCAGAGATGCAGGCAGGGATGGCGACTGGGTCAACTGGACATCACAATGGGTACCTGACATTGGAAACACTAAAACAATTAGTGGTATTATCCAAGTACTTCCACAAAGCTTCAGGCTACTCTGTTAATATGAGATGAGTAATCCCCAGCATTGTTCTTCCTTACCTGGGAGCCAGAGCAGCAGGATGGCAGGAGCTGAGCAGGGGCCTTCATGTCCAATCTATTTGCTGAGTGGAACCTTCTCCTGCATAGGGTGTGAGCAGCCTCTGAATAAGTTCTCAGGGCAGTGGGCTGTGCTCAGGGCACATGAAAAGGAGCAGGGTTGGAAAGATTTAAAAGATATGGCTATATATATAGCTTGGTGATCTTTATGAATTTCTGAGCTAGCAGTCTCCAAATCTCTCAGATAACATTCCTGTCTCCTATCAATAGCCCCAAAAGCTCCCCTTCAAAGATAAGATGTTCCCTAAACCAAGAACTCACATCTACTTCAGTCTCTTATGCTTCATAAACCTTCATGTTCTTACACTATCATCTCTTCCAGTTCCTAAATAACATTTTTTTTAGTAACTGTTTTAGAACTTGTGGTCCCAGCAGATTCAGATTTGAATAAGCAAAACATAGTAAAGGGTGAGCAAGGCAATGAAGCCACAAGGAATTGAGAAGACATCCTTAGCATGGGAAACAAGGAAAAACTGCCACAGACAGTAAAGGCAGAGCACAGTGAGGAAGGCTCCCACATCAGGACCAGCATGTGGGGACACTGTCCACCCTAATGCAGGATGTCACACCTGGGGAGCCACTAGCAGGACATTTACATGACAGTGAATCAACCTCTCATCATTGTGAGTCTCAGGTGCTGAAGGTACACAAAATAACACTGCTCCTCAAAGTAAGAAGCTCACACACAGGGAAAGTCCTTGCCAAAGTCAGAGTTCTCTTCATCATCCTTCACTAAATGAACTGCATGTGGATCTGGATTTGAGAGATTCACCTACTTCGACCCTGGTTATGATGTATCTGCTGCCTGAAATATCACACTTCTGAAGCCAAAGGAAGGTATGATGAAACTGTAAAAGTCATGCCTTTCTATTTACCTGCATTTAATTAGAGGAACTTTGAAGGTGGACCTGTCTTTTGATAAACATCCACTCCTGGTACACACAACGTCCCCCCACACCTGAGTTTGAGACCAAGACATTTTAGGAATGGCTATGTTTCAGGAGGAAAGAAGAGTGGATATGAGAGTGGAGATCAACCACTTCACAGTTTGTGTAATAAGACTGTTATGCCCTGAGCCTCAGGTAGGAACCGTAAAACCTAAAGATCTCTTGTGTAGACATTCTAAAGCTACCAGCACATATGTTTAATGCAGCATTATTTACCAAACCTAAGATACAGAACCAACCCAGATGTCCCTCAGTAGATGAATGGATCAAGAAAATGTGGTATATATACAAAATGGAATTCTATGCCTCCACCCGAAAGAATGATATTGCCCCATTTGTTAGAAAATGGAAAGACTTAGAAAAAAATATATTAAGTGAAGTAAGCCAGGGCCAAAGAAACACAGGTCCCATGGGTTCCCTTGTTTGCAATAACACTGCCTATGTGTAATCCTAAACACTCAGGAGGACACCGGAAGGAATGTGGAGAGTTTCAGGTCAATCAGGACACACATAGATAAGCCCTGTCTCACCTGACATAGCCTTGCTTCATGGAGTGCTGTTGGCAGGAGCAGACAGGGATCAGCGGCAGAAATAGCATTTGTTCAATAGATTTTTCTGCCCCTGGCACTAAAACCAACTCTCTGTGTGGTTTGTGGTTCTTTTAGGTATTCAAATGCTTCCCTAGTAAAGCTCATGATATAATCAGTGGATAATTTTATAAATGTTTTCTGTCTGTTTGAGGCTCAGTAAGTATACAACTTCTCCCAGCACAGCTGTGTCTGTCAGGCTATTTCATGTTTTACCACCAGGGGAAGTTGAGATATTTTAGATCTATCAGTGACAGAGGGAATAGGAGAACTTAAATGTAATAGACAAACTGGTAAGGATGGACCTTTCCTAAGATGATGCTTGTGCTGAGGGAAATAGCAGGGGTCTACTTTGGATGTCTGAGTGGTCTGTGCATTTTCTGAGAGAAAATCCAATGCATACTCAAGTCTCAGGGGAAGCCTTTGTTCATTGTGAGGCTTGTTTGCCAGTTAATGGTAGATTTTTGGAAGGGAAAAACATAATCTTCTAACCTCGAAGAGTCAGGTGAGAAAAGGCCTCCATTAGAGGAAGATTGGAGGAAACAGACATTGAACATAACATTATGCAGAGTCAAACTTCAATTTGTAGCTTTGTTAAACAAAAATTGTCCTGTGCCAAGGAGACCCCTGTTTTCACTCTATTTGATGTTGGTATGATTTGGGGAGGGGAAGGAAAAAACAAATTGTTTAAATAGGGATATGGGTGGACCAATTGCAACAATGAGATGTACAATACGTTATGTCGAAAAATAAACTTTACAATTGTGGGTGTGGGGAGATGGGAGGGCAGAGATAGTAAGGGGAAACAAAGGAGGAGGCAGTGATGCTTGATAAGAAATGTACTCATTACCTTGCCCATGTAATTGTAACCCCTATGTATGGTATTGTCACAATTAAAAAATGATAATAATGGGACTTTCAGAATCATGAGTTGATTAAGCAAAAAGCTTTTAATATCTGAGTCATATAATTAATTTGCATTATATTTAACCAACATATTCTATTTATTTGGTGATATTCAGTAACATTCCTATTTAAAAAATCCATCTCAATTTTAAGCCTAGCTTTGTGACTCATTCTTCAGTTCCTAGCTACTACTGCTTCTTGAGTCATTCTGCATGGGATTTGACTCTGTAATTCTCTCCAAACTATAGAAATGGCATGCTGCTAGTAGGTGATTTTGTCTTTGTCTTTCACATTTAGTAATAAGTGATAAATTGACTTCTGCAGTAACACTATAAATTCTGATTCTGGGAGTCCCTGGAAGCTGAAGTAATCCAAGATCCCACTTTGACAAGGTCTCTAGTATGACATCTTCTATCAAGTCCTCCAAACTCAGACTACTGTTTCAGTTCAGAGAATGTGCTATGCTGCTCTCCAGACAAGCTTTGAAATAGGACAGCTGGGCCAAGCCCTACAGAGATGTTTTTGTTAAGCACTGTGTCACTGTGGGAGGAGTATCTATACTTTGCATGCAGTAATAAACCCCAATATCCTCAGCCTCCACCCTGCTGATTTGCAGTGTGAAATCTGTGCCAGACCCACTGCACTGAATCTGTCTGGGACCCCAGATCCTCGGTTGGTAGCCCAATAGATCAATCGCTGTGGAGACTGGCCAGGCTTCTGAAGGAACCAATACAGAAGGCTATCTCCATCACTGTATAAGAGGCTCTGACTAGACCTGCAGGAGAGGGAGACCGTCTCTCCCAGTGTGACAGCCAGGGAGAGTGGAGTCTGAGTCATTATAATATCACCATTGGACCCTGAAATTAAAATAAATGAAAAGTGCAAGGTTATATGTGGTATGTAATTTTTTCTGTGGTTATATATTAATTCCCAATCCTTTTCATGGTTTTCCTACTATCCTAAAACTATTCAATATATCAAAACATATACAAATATCAAAATAATAAATGAGGTTCTAGATCTCATGTATACTACCCACTACACACTTGTCATAGTTGTCACCAAAGCTCAGGACCTGGTTCCATCTAGAATGTTCAGCACTCTCATATAATTAACTTCACCTGCCTAATTCTAGAGGACAAGTTCTGTGCATCTAACCCAAGAACAGAATACAAACAAGAAGCAGTGGCCCTGAGGGCTCACCTTCAAACCCCTTTTCCATCCTCATCTCCCTCTGTCCTTACCAGTGATCCAGAGCAGTAAGAGAGTCAGAACCCAAGAACAGAGCCTCATTTTAGCTGGGAATCCAGGAGATTTGATCAGTGAAGTCAAGGTCAAGATGAGCCTTTATGTCAAACTGGGGCTGGAAAGTTCTCTTTGGGGAGCACTATGCAAATCAGCAGGTGGGTGCAGCAGTGTGAGAAGAACAAAGCAAAGGGCAAGGGCATCTCTCTGGTGAAGAAAGCGACTTAAATTACTTCTGTGTTTGGAGAAAAGACCCACAAGTACCAGGCTGGCTCCAGCAGTGTGTAGAAGGACTCCTCTCCCCTGATGCCTAGATCTACAGGGAGGATGTGGTGTACTTGACCCTGTCAACTTAAAACACTAGAGGCCCAATTCAATTGAAATATGTGTCCAGGGGAGTCTTGGTGAAGTGTCAGTTTGATTGGCCCTCTTCTACTTATTCTAGAGAAAGATACTGTGCACAGACTTCATTTGCCATTGTGTCTCAAGTCTTCTATTCAATACCACCGGGATTTGATCTAGGTAAGGAAATCAAATACATACTTGAGTTAATCTGACATCACTGAAACAAAGTTAACTTTTGATTAGCAAGTTATCAGCAACTGTTAGAGTTGTTCTTCATAAGCCAGACACTGGTGGCTCATGTCTGGAACCCTAGCTACTCTGGAGGCTGAGTTCTGAGGATATAGTTCAAAGCCAGTGCAGGCTGAAAGTTACATTATGACTCTTATCTCCAACTAATCATTCAGAAATTGTATGTAGTGCTGTGGCTGAAAGTGGTAGAGTGTTACCCTTGGGCAAAAGAGCTCAAGATCATTACCCAGGTCCTGAGTTCAATCCCTACAAGTGATAATAAAATAAGGTTCTTCATCGAGGGCCTAATTAATTAAGTTCCTTATGATCACTTGTGTTAAAACAAAATAACAAAGAGGATAAAATCCTCCTTGCAGATGGTAAACTAATAACATTTCTAAATGGAAAATAAAACATGGCAGAGAAAATTAAATTCTACATAGTCATTTTCACAATCAGTAAATATGGGATGACACTTCTTCAGCATAACTCTTCACCAGACTAACAACAGTATTCTCAATATTTCACTCTCTTCTATAAGACAGAATGAACAAGAACACCAGTAACATTCAGTTAGTTACTGAGACTATTGCAACATCCATTTTTAATCTTTCTACAGACTCTGCTCCTGGAAAAGTTATTAACTCTTTATTAGACCCTCCTTGTCCTGCCTGCATTCCATGTGGACAGCCACAGCCAAGACTCCACACCTCATAGCAGGACCCAGCAAGAGCTGTTTTCATGTCTCAGTATAACATACACTCAAGATTAAATCTTCTCTTTAGCTTCATCAGCATCTACTAAGAAAGTGAATGCTGGTGCAGAGTTGTTCAGAGGAATTCATATTCCACTTACATCATCCAGAGCCTGAAGAACATACATTTCGGTTGTTATTGATCACTGTTTCTTTTGCTATTGGCCACATTTTCTTATGGGATACACAAAAAGTTTCTCCTATTAAAAGTATTCTAGAGCAATTTTTATTGTGATTAAGTGATTGCATACATTTCACAAATTTCACAGGATTGTGATATTTGTAGTCACAAAGTAGGTGATACTTACAGTCACAAACATATTCTAACTTCATGGGGTATATTATCTTTATCACGGTTTATAAAGTTTCTCAGTTCTATGAGCTTTGACAATACAGTTATTTTCCACATGGGGTGATATATACATTTATTTTCTTTTGCTTAGTGTCAGCTGTTTCCTCTTTCCTGCTCTTTTCCTCCCTCCCATTGCTTCCATTGAGTTGCTTAGTTTATTTTGATCAATGTCCAGTACAACTGATAGTTCCCACTGTTACATGTTTTCCCGTGGTTCCCTCTGTTTCTGTGTCCTCCTCCTAGTTTCCCTCTGATGTGCACATATATATGATATATGTTGTATATATTATTTTTAAAATAACTTTTTATTGTGAAAATACCGTACAGAGGGGTTACATTACATGAGCAAGGTATTGAGTACATTTCTTATCAAGCATTATTGCCTCCTCCTATGTTTCCCCTTTCCATCCCTTCCCATCTCCCTCCCCATTTCCCTCATTCCTGCCTACATACTTATCCCCGCCCCCCCCAAGAGCACCAAAGTTGTCACGTTCATTTTTTCGACATAATGTCTTGTACATCTCATTATTGCAATGGGTCCATCTGTATCCCTGTTTAAGCAATTTTTTCCCTTCCGCTCCACAAATTATACCAATATCAAATACAGTGAAAACATGGGTTATACTGCAGGGAAGGCACATACAAAGCAACAAAGAAATCATCTTATAAATATTTTATTTGTAAATTATTTCTTTTATTCCTTTCCTTTGCTGCTTGCTTATACAAAGACAATGAGGAAACTCTTTGAGATACCATAACTGGAAGAAACTTCCAAACTGAAATTAAATGCCAATCACATGGAAGGGGAGATGACTAACACAGTTAATTTCCCAATAGGTTGTAACTTCAATCCTGTATATGAGTTATAAATGATGTAGCTCAAAAGAAATCCTGAAATCTTATCCTTTGATTTCCTCAACCCAAGGATGTAAGAAGACTCTTATAGGGCTACATATTTGTGCATTTTTATTCAGTGTGTGTGTGTGTGTGTGTGTGTGTGTGTGTGTCTTTGGACTTAAGTTCAGGTCCATGGCCCTGAGCTTTTGTACTCAAGGTCAGCACTCTTTCACTTGAGCCACATCTCCATTTCTGTCCTTTTGTTGGTTAACTGGCGTAAAGAGTCTCTTGCACTTTCCTTTCCTGGGCTGGCTTTGAACCGGGATCAGAAGATCTCAGCCTTCTGTGTAGCTAGGTTTTCAGGCATGAGGCACCTGCACTGGCCTCTTGTAGATATATAAGCCATGTAGAACACCGGGATTTGAAGTTATACCTCTCAAAACAGGACAAAATATAGCTTCAGGAACCACAGTCCCTTGCCACACAACCAGGCATTGAAGGGTTTCATTCTCAGGATTGGAGCATTGTGAATTTGGTGATCAGTCCTGCTGGCCATTTGCCCTCAACTGCATACCAGGTGATGGTCTGCTCTTCCCAGATGTGGTGCAGTTGTAGAGGCTCAGTAGTGGTCACTGTTCTTGGCAAGTCGGATGGAGAGAAGCACCAGAAAATATGAAAAGGTAATAAGTTTAAATGTTGTCATGGATTGGAGAAAAGCACTTGATAAAAATCTCTCAAGTGAAAAAAAATAATCTCTCAAGTGACTAGGGATAGAAAAAAATTACCTCAACCCAATAAAAGATATGGATGGCAAAAACCATTGTCAACATAATACTAGATGGGGAATTCTTAAATTATGATATTATTTCATCAAAAATATGAATATTTAAGCATAAACAAGGAGATGAAGCATTTCTACAAGGAGAACTATTATAATAAAAATAAATAAATGAAATGCACAAATGTATACATATATACTCTTTTTTATTTTACCTAGATAGCCTTCCCTTTGCTATGTGAATCCAAAGTAATGGCACAACCCTGACCCCCCAGAGTATGTAGGTGTGTCATTTACAAGTCAGAAGAGGCATTATAAAGTCTGAACTGAGGGCCATGTAGAAAAAAAGAATGTTAGGATAAAAAGGATCTTCTCAGTCCCTTACAGAAGAAAAAGTGTATGTACATCTACAAACAATACCAGTAATACATCCAATTTAGTTTATGTTTTTTTGATTCTGATCCAAAAACTAAGCAGTCTTACACCCTCAACTGCTAGGCAACATTCTTGAATTCAAGCTCACTAAGAATGGAGCCTGAGTCCTGCTTCCTCACCATGGTTGCAGCAGCAGGAAGAAGAGAAGCAAGTCTGCAACTATATGTCCAAACTACATGTCAGTTCCTAAGGCTGATCTGCTCAGAGAGAGCTAGTTTTGTGACTTAGTTTCCCTGCACTGCCATGGAGAACACAGATATCTTTGGCTGGTAGACAAATTTATGAAATAGTTTTAAAATCAAAGTTCTGGAAGTATGGAAGTCTAGAGTGTCATCTGTTTCAGACTCTCTTCCTGACTGTTCTCTTTCTTGTAATGTCCTCACAAGGACTCTGATGCCTGTGACAGAGACAGAGACAGAGCCATCCAGTGCCACAGCTCCTCAAGACACTAGCACTACAGGACTTGCTACAGTCTCAGGGACCTCACATCACCTCAGTCACTTGTTACAGACTTCTCCAAGTACACATGTCTCAGGAGACATGAATCAATCCTTAAAAGATGGCCTTTGCTCATAAACAAGGGAGGAAAGAGAGGCAAAGCCAAGCTTCCAGTCTCTAAATTCGAAAAAAAGACTTTCCCTCACAATTCAGCCAGCTGACAGCTCCTTCTGAGTGTCCCTGGTCCTAGTCAAATACCCAAGCCTGGAGACTCTTTGTTGATAAAACACTAACTCTGTGGTTTCCCTAGATTACTAAACTAGATAGCTCTTTTAATATGTATTGTGTGGTTTCACTACCATCTAGTGGTATTATTCTAACATTACATGTTTTAAAACCAGGATTCTTTTTTTATTTTTTATTAATGAATTTTTAATTTTACTTTATTGTAACGATGGTGTCCAAAGGGTTACATTTACATGAGTAAGGTAATGAGTACATTTTTTGTCAAGCATTGTTACTCCCTCCTTTGTTGTTCTCCCACTATCTCTTCCCTCCCTTACCTCCTTCACACCTCCCGCCCAAAGTTGTAAAGTTCATTTCCAATATAGAGTCTTGTGGGTATCATTGTTGCAATAGATCATCCTGTGTCTTGTTTCAGCATTTTGTTATTCCCTTTCCCCTCCCCAAATTAGAAAAATGTATATACAAGATTCTATACAAAATTCAGTGTACCAAAATCAGTATAGTGAAAACAGGAAATACACCATAGGGGGAAGAACATACAAAAGAAACACAAAAAGATCACATAGTACATTAAAAAACAACAACAAAGAAAGGCCTCTTGTGTCCATATCTTAGGATTCAGGTTTCCCTCATTTGCAATAATTAGTATACATCAAGGATAATTTTATCAGAAAATCAGAAAAGCTCAAAAACTATGTACATATGACCATCTAAGATGATGCTAAGCTAAATGAACCCCAGGTTTATTTTTTCAGGAAGAGTTATAAATTACAGTTTTAGATGTCTTTTTTAACTTTTCTATGGATTATATTCAGATATGATGGTAATTTTATGCATGTTTCTGTCTGTCTGTATCTGAATGTGTGTGTATGTGTGTGTGTCTGTGTGTGTGTGTCAGTGGTTTGCCAGTGATAGGTTGAAGAATTAGAGCTAGTGAGTCCACACAGGTTAAGATAGCCAAACAAGAGGCAAAAGCTGCACAGAGATCCCCAAATCTCTCCATGCTAAATCCTGGTATTTTACTAAATATGAATCACTGATTCCATGTGGAGGGCTGAAGTGGTGAAGAAAAATTTATCAATATTTGTTGCATGACATGGTACAGGTGTGGAGAACCAATGGCTCACCTTGTGCTTGTGTGGCTTAAGTACTGATGGCTTGCAAGTTAGCTAATGTTGGCTTCCTGGACTCTGTCTACAGGGAAAGTATTGTAATTAGAAGAAAAGGAGGCTGTTGCTCTCTCTGTGGATTTGTCACTGTTCTTAATCACAGTTGTCAAGGGGGCTCAGCACAAGATGATTTATCTAAGGATATGGATTTGGTCATGAACTATTGAGCAGTCTTAAGGCAGAAGTTCTGGAAACCT